GTAATTACTGGTATCTACTGAGCAGATATAAAACCTAAGAATTGTTTTGGGGACTTCGTATAGATTATCCCTAATCCTTACAAGAGGGTTGTGATTTTATCCCCATTATATAGATGAGGAAACTGAGGCACAGGAAAAGAAGTAACCCCTAGGTCACTAAGCTAGTCATTTGTGGAAACAAGATGCTCATCCAAGCAGGTCTCCTTGACTCTTCTCTTTCCCAAACTTCAGACATTTGCATAACATGACTATGATGTGCGTTGAATTATAAACCACCTCTACTCTTATTTACTCAATGTTTTTCTTCAAATTCATTCAACTTTTAAAAAACCTTGAATATGTTTATTTTCAAAGGAAATCTTGTATGGTTACCTATATAATTTGGTGGGACTAGAAGGTAACTGAAATAAATATACTACAAATAAAATGTTACCTAATTCCAGCTAGAAGCTATTGCCTGAAGAGGCCTCTGTACCTGAGGTCTGGGTTTGTTTTTTGTTTTTTTTAAAAAGAGGTTATTATCAGGTATTGCTAGAAGTTATAGCCAGTTAACACTAAGCTGAAAAGAATCACTTTCTCTCCATATAATTCACCATTATTTTCTGGTACACCCAGGCACCACTTACAGTAATCTCGAATACCCACAGTGGTAATGGTCTTACATGTGGGAAACACTGGCCAATACTAAGTGTTTCTTGTTTTCGTCTTTGAAATACATGTAATTCCCAAACAGTTCTGCCCCGTGTATATCAGGGAGGGGGAGGCTTCAAATCCAACAGTTAGTCCCAGCAATCAATTATTATTTATAAGTTTTAGATATTACAGAATATTTTCACGTACATTGCTGCACTAGTTTTATTATTAATATACTGGCAAAGTAGACCCAGCTCTGTTAATAAAGATTTCTGGTTGAACCAGATTTTACAGTAATTATAATTTTACTTTATCGTAATATGTTAGGTTTCTTTTGGAGAACTAGCTAACTTTTCAAATACATGTTCTCGTTTTATCCTGCCTGCATTCCTTCCAGGCAGGGAGGCACAGGTATGTATCAGTCTGTTTTATAAAACAGATAAGCACTAAGAATATACTGCATAGCATATACAGTATCTTGTAATAACTTGTAATATGCACGTTGTATAGTACAGTGTACAACTTGTAGTATACAAGGTACCCAGTATCTTGTCATGCCTTATAATGGAGTATAATCTGCAAGAATACTGAATCACTATGCTGTACACCTGAAATTAACATAATATTGTAAAGCAACTATATTTCAATTTAAAAAAATGGGGAAAACAAGGTTTGAAACTGTGTCTTCATTTGGGCTTCCACAGTGGCCCGGAGGCAGGGCCAGGCTAAAATGATATCTCTTGATAACAAAGGAATTCCAGTGGCATCAGAGCCTGGTGCAGCCTTTCTGATAGGCACAGGACGCGGTAGGGTGTCCAGATTTTCAAAGCCATGCCTGTTCTTTGCTCCTGTCACCCCCATACAGAGTGCATGGCCTGGAGATCGAGGGCAGGGACTGTGGCGAGGCCGCAGCCCAGTGGATCACAAGCTTCCTGAAGACGCAGCCCTACCGCCTGGTGCACTTCGAGCCCCACATGCGACCAAGAAATTCTCACCAAATAGAGGATGTGTTCCGGCCCACCGATCAGGTCAGACCAGCACCCCTTGGCTTTGGCCTTTGGTGCATCCTATAGAAGGCAGGCTTCCTTGGGAGCAGAGATCAGGGCATTGTGTCTGCTGAGCTCAGTTCTGTCACTTTGCCAATGCTTTTGTTGCAAGCAAAAGGCAAAAAATAGAGCCCTTCCCTTGGGAGCACCCTCTGTGTTTCTTGATCTGGGGACTCTTGCATTTTTTTCCTAGGAGCATCTTCCTTCCGATTTATGTAAGCCTCCTGGTGCGAGTAAGGCTTCAAAACTGCTCTAGGCCAATATATTTCCTACTCCATTCTGTAACTGCATGCGGAGGCTAGCCCTTTAATACTGCGATGGCAACTGTGTGTCAGATCACAGTTGGGCAAACGGGCGTGGGTATGGAGATCCATGGAGATTTAAAATGACCAGACTGGCCCTTCAAAGATTAAGGCTGTAAGAATTCACCATGAAAGTACCTCATACAGTGCTATGTAGCATCATTACTGTGGCCATGGTGAACATTGATTTACATAAAAAATTAACATCCATGGAATCAGTGAGTATTTTACAGCACATGTAACCCAGTCATCAAACCCATCCACCTTATTAAGCATGGGAGAATTTGGAGGATGAGAAAGGGGCAGCTCTGGGATTCTGAGGCCACATTCTCTTCTCTCCATCATGTAATTCCTGTTATGTGCAAGGCTACTGAAGGCTTCTGAATCACTATAGTCACTTTTTCTATAAAAAGAACTAGAGAAATACTTAGATTGTGGTGGGAGGGGGAGGGGGAAGGAGGAAGGTTGCAGGAACTAGACCCCAGTGACCTCTGAGACACAACTTTGTCCACGGCACGTTGTAACAGTTCATGTTTTCCCATCAGGTCGTGTACGCGGACGCCAGCCCATTTTTGATTCTTTCTGAGGCATCCTTGGCGGATCTCAACTCCCGGCTAGAGAAGAAAGTTAAAGCCACTAACTTCAGGCCCAATATCCTAATTTCAGGGTGTGGTGTCTATGCAGAGGTAAATGCTATGCCTTCTTGCCCTTTTCCTCGGGTTTACCTTTTTTTTTTTTTTTTTTTAAGGTATGAGAGTCTTTGATGTTGGATTAGATTATACCAAAGGATGCATTACTTCTTGGTCCTATATTCCACCACAATTCAGTTTTTCAATTTCTTGAGCACCTGATCAGTACAGACTTTTGTGCAGAGGATACAAATTTAGATGGGGCAGAGACACAGGGGTCCGGGGGCATTGCAGGGTCTGAGACTTCTAAGGAGATTCCAAGAAGGCAGGTTAGTTTTTGAGCCAAGTTCTCTCAGCACAGAATACATGATCTATGTGAGCCATGGAGCAGATTCAGGGTGTGCTCCGGTCATGTGGGAGGCAGGTGGTGCCAGGTGCAGTGGGCAGAACGACCATCCCAGAAGCTGAGGACCTGCACAGAGGCTTCTAGAAAGCGAACCCCCTCCTCATCTCAGAACCTGCCTCTCATGGTTGTGGTCCTTCCCCGAGTCCCTTCACACCCATCATCCCCACTCCTCTTCCTCACTTCTCAAAACCCCCACCCAGGGCCATATCGGGGAAACCTTGCTGCCCTCCTCCCTTGCCGTGCCTCATTCAGAGACCTTTTCCTGTCATCGCCCTGCCCCTTGGACCTATCGGTACTACTTCTGGAACTTTCTCTCCCTGGCTGCACTGCCTTTGCTCCTTTACTGTTTGCCTTTGTACTCCTCACTCAGGTAGGGGCTTCCAAAACTTCTGGCCTTGACCGTCTCTCTCCCTACCTTCCCTTGCTGATGGTGCACTGTCCTGCAGCTGTGTCATATGTCACCTTCTGTAGGTCCTTCCCAGGTGTCAAACCGTGGACTCCCCCTGGAGAGCTGGGCTCACATTTCTGACTATCTGCTGGGCATTTCCATCCGTTCTGTTGACTTAGCAAACTTGTACTTAGATACTCCACACCCCATGCCCTACATCTCCTTCTCTTGACTTCATAGCTTCTGTCCTGGGCACCATATTCCTTCTATCACTCTGGCTTAGAGCTTACAAGCCACCCCTGACTCTTTCCTCTCCCATGTTTCTCCCATCCTCAATCTTCTTCCTTTCTGTTCTCAGCCATCAACTAGATCACCTTTATTATCTCAAGTCTGGGCCACTGAGTGGTCCTGGATGTTGCCACAGCCATCCTCCCAGAGCACTGGAGTGACCTCTTCTACCTTAAAAGTTTGTGACAGTCAATGTTACTTCCTTGCTCAAAAGCCTTCCATGGCTCTCCAGTTCTCAAAAGTCCCAAACTACCCACTCTACCATTCTGGTCCCTCCATAATCTTGTTACAGTGTGCCCTTCCAGTAAAAGCTCCAAAGCTGCAAACTGGACTGAGAATCTAACGTGTATTCTCCTATCTCCTGGTCATCCCAAGTCTCACCCCTTCCCCACTTAGAAACCCCTGGAACTTCTTTAAAAGCCCAGATGAAAAGCCACCTACCCTAGAAGTCTGCTCTCATCGCCAGACCCGGAAGAGCTCCCTCTCTTCTCCAAAGCCACTCTGTGCTGTGCCTGTGCCTCTGCATACCCGGCTTGTCCTGTTTCAATTTTTTTTATCACCTCGAGGTAATGTGCTCTGTAGGAAGACTTTCACGGGCTCAGTGTTTAACATGGTGCTGGGCTCACAGTGTGCACTAAACACGTAATACTTTTCTCCTTTTCCTCTAGTTTGCCAAATAGATACTTTTCTGATGCTGGAGTTTTAAACTTATTTTTCTGTGAATCAATTCCCAACAGGTTTTATTGCACATAAAAGGGGCTCTGTAAGTATTTCTTTAATTTATAATAAATTAACTTCCTAATCAGAACCCTCATTTCTTTCCTTTTGAATCTTTTATGTTTTTGTTTTTGTTTTTGTTTTGTAAGCACAGTGCTTCCTAGTGGAGAAATGTGCACAAAACAGGCTGGGTTGCTCTAATCCGAGGTGCTCAGCTTTTTAGACTGGAGAAACATGCAGTTAAAAAAAAGAAAAAGAAATCCCCAAAACCAACCAACAAAACCAGTCCGCAATATACATATCAAGAATAATACTATCAGAGTTAAAACTTTGGGTCTGGAACTCTGTCTCTGGCTTGTGATCATCAAAGGACTGGGCAGGTTGCTTTTAACTCTTGGATTCCTGTCTTTGGGCTGCAGGCAGCCTGCTTTTCTCTCTGAGCGTGAGAAGGTCAGGACTACAGTCAGATGTGCTTCCTCCTTATTATTTCCCGGAGTCCTCATCACCCTTCTTTTGTGCCTCTCAGAATCTCCACCCTAGAAGACTCAATTCAGATCTCACCTTTTGCATGAAACCTCCCCTGACCAGAGCAGCCTGACACTGTCTTCCTCTAAACCACCAGCATGATTCTTGCCTGCACGGTTAAACCGGCACGCGGGGTGGTGCTGTCTTATAATGCTTTTACTCAATTTTCCTAGAATTAAAAAAAATATATATATATTGACCATTCACTTTTCATGTGTGTATTGTTCTCTCTCCCCTGCTGGATTTGAGGGGCACAGGTGATTGATCTGATTTGCCCCGAAAATTTGGCACCGATATGACACAGGCAGCAGACAAATGCCTGAGAATTTCGGGGGCAGCTGTGCTTTGTGATTCCACCCCAGGGGAGATGCAGAGAGAAGTAACGCTACCTGACCTGCGCTGCTTGTGTTCATATCCGGCAGGGGGAGACGGGAGATAACAGACGCAATGATTAAGGATCTTAATCCACCTAAGGTGTGCACAAAGGGCTCTGACACAACCTAGTATCCAGAGTAACCCTCCTCCCGTACCCTCTCCTCGCTTTCACCCACCTCTTCCGGCAGCCCCGACCCTTGCCTTCCCCACCTCCTCCAGTCAAGCAGAGGCTTCCTGAAGGAGATGAGTTTCCAACCCAGTTTTACAAGTAAGAGCAGACGGAGCATTTCATTTCATGGGAGTGAACTGACTTCCAAGGCAGAGGGAGGGAAACAGGGAGGCGCGTGGCTTCTCGGAACGGACGCGAAGTCTGCCATCTTTGGTGAAAGTGACTTCATTAGCTGTCAGATCACATGAAGTCCCTACACAGGTGGGTCAGGGCCACGGCTCGGAGGTGCTCACGTGAATTGTGTACTTCGTCCCCAGGATTCGTGGGATGAGCTGCTCATTGGCGACGTGGAACTGAAAAGGGTGATGGCTTGCTCCAGGTGAGGCGCATGCGCAGCTGCCCGGGAGAGGGCGGGAGGGGAGCGTCTGTTTTGTCCCGTGTACGATGCCCTGTGTGTGTGTGTGTGTGTGTGTGTGTGTGTCCAGGTGCATTTTAACCACAGTGGATCCGGACACGGGCATCATGAGCAGGAAGGAGCCGCTGGAGACCCTGAAGAGGTAGGACTAGGCGATTTAATATCTCAGAGGAAGCAGAGAGAACGTCACACTTATATATGCTTGTAGGGGAAGGGGGTCCTAGTGACTGGGTAATTTGGGAAACATTCCTGGGCGTTTTGGTTCCCAGAATGCCTGCTTGCACAACTAATTTTATTTTTCACTTAGAATTCATGATCTGAACATGCCAATTAAAAACAACAACAACACATGGTTTAGATATTTTGGCAAACTTTATTATGGGCTGAGTGATGTCACAAATTCCTTAGGTATGATAAGTGCATTGTGATGACATAAGAAATGCCCATGTATTTTAGAGAGGCATGTTGAAATGTATAGGAGTGAAGTGATGTGACATCCGGGGACGTACTGTATATTATTTTAGCAAAAGGACCCACGGAAAAATATGTCAAAATCTTGATAAATAGAACTTGGGTGATAGATGGGGATTCATTGCACTATTTTTTTTATTTTTACTTTTATGTTTACTTAAAAATTTCATCAAGTTTTTTTAATGAAAGACAATGACAGACAATAAGTTTAAATTGCTTAAAACGATATTTATAATAACATTAATTCTAAAAAGCTGATTTCAAGATAGCATATATAGTATTAACTTTTTCGGTCTTTGTTTACTTGGTTTTAGTTTTAAAAATGCATAAATATGCCTGAGTGGCTAAAAGGCTGTAAGGCTGTAAACCAAAATGTTAATGGAGGTGCTCCCTTGGTAATGGAATTATGGGGGAAATATACATTCTGATACGTAGTCTCTAAACTTTCTATAATCAACCTGCATTACTGCTGCTAAAGCAGTAACTCAGGACCTACGCACTTCTATGTTACCTGCCAAATCTGGAGCCGGGATATTGTTGAAACCCTGAACATGATCTAGTGATGCTTGTCTTCACTGGTCCCTTTGGTGTTGAATGCAGGATTACAGGTGCAGTGTCAGGTGTCATCTCTGCAGACCCAAGACCCTGGGCTTTGACCCTGACATGTGTCCTTGGGTGCCACTTGTAGAGAGGGAGAGGGATAGTGGGGAGGATGGTGACTCTGCTTTGGGCAAACCCTGGAAGACTTGGGGAAGGAGCGCAGTGGAAATTTGGCC